TTCTCCAGGACGTTGTCGAGGCTTCGCGCGTGGCCGGCGCCCTGGGCTGCCCGGGGCGCTCTTTGGGTTCCCCCTCTGATAGAAAGCCTCGTCAAGCGCAAACACCCGTAAACATGAAGGGATGCTCGGCGTCACTTGTGATGAAAGAATTGCGGGACGCTGGTTGCAGTGCAAAGGTCTCAGGCTAGCAATGCACCGAGGAGGCGGTGCAGGAGCCCCTGTGTCGCTGGGGGAGTGAGGAATAAGCTGCCCGGGGCGCTCTTTGGGTTCCCCCTCTGATAGAAAGCCTCGTCAAGCGCAAACACCCGTAAACATGAAGGGATGCTCGGCGTCACTTGTGATGAAAGAATTGCGGGACGCTGGTTGCAGTGCAAAGGTCTCAGGCTAGCAATGCACCGAGGAGGCGGTGCAGGAGCCCCTGTGTCGCTGGGGGAGTGAGGAATAAGGCACCCCGGGGAGCGACGCCCACGCAGCCCCTTTGGCCTCACCTGGCGACACTCCGAATCTTGGATTTCACGCCTGGCGCACCTACTTAGAAATCAAAATCTGCCCTTTACCCAGATCTCAAATGGCACTAAAATGCCCTTTGAGGAGCATTGCGGTTAAGCCCAGGGTCTTTGAGGTTGGGCTGGTTAGCTGGTGTATGGTCTGTGCTAGTTTGGCTTTACACTTGCCAGATGAAATACAAGCCTGAAATATGAATTTCAGATAAAGAATAATTTTGTACTATAAGCATACATACTTATACTAAAGTATTATTGTTTGTCCAAAATTCAAATATAGCAGGCATCCTGTATTTTTGCTAAATCTTGCAACCCTAATCTCGGGCAACTTCTAACCTTAGTTTTCTTATCTATGAAATGGGAATAATAATAGGACCTATATCATAAAGTTGTGTGGTTGAAAGATAATCCATGCAGAGTACTTACCAGGTGTATGAAAGATAACAGTAAGTGTTAACTCTTTAATTATTTCATACTGGTGTGTCTTAGGATAAATTCCTAGAAGTATGCCTTTGTTATAGAACTCTGGCTTAATTTACTAGTAAGGCTTGTCTGAGTATTCGGTCATACCAAAAAAAATGGTGTTTTGTGAAAAGCCTTGAGCAGGTTAGGAGATACTTCTCTACTAGCTGCAGAATACAATTCAGATTTTTAAATTCCCATATGAAAACAAAACATTGTCACCTCCCAGCAAGTATGGATTTCCTCCCAATCACACCAAGTAATTGGGTGTTGATTCGAATTTGTTTTCTATTCCAGAGTCAACTGAATCAATATTTGAGAGGTTGTTTAAGTAACATTTCTAGTGACTGAACTAAATTGCTACAAAGCTGACTTAATATTGGGCCCAGGGCTCTAAAAAAACATTTGTCTTTTTCTTTCTGCAAGCTGATAGTTACATCCTCCTCCTTTATACTTAAAAAAATTATTCTTAAATTTTAAAACTAGAAAAGGTGTTACTTCAAGAGGATGCTCTATATTTTTACTACTTTTTTTTCCTTCTGCTACAGAATTTCTATTTTGTATTTTACTCTAATTTTAACAGATTTATGGGTTCATTATAATCAATATTTTACTACGTGTAAAATATGGACCAAGAATATAATGATAATGTTGTGCTTATTTTGTACTGCTAGATTGACCTTTTAAAGTCTTAATCAAGTTCCCCTGGCCATCTGTAATATATGAGCACAGGCTTTTCCCATGTCTTTCTTGCAACAGGATTTATAGAGTATTTTGCTAAATACGTAACTATAAAGACATTGTAAACGGATTCCTTTTTCTTTACATTGCATTTATTATCTCAAAGAACACAAGCTTCATGAAGGGAGGGGTGTTTGCCGGCTCCATTTCTGCTGCACCCCAGCGCCTAGGAGGACACCTGGCCTGTGATGACCACTCAGTCAGTCATTGACTGAATGAGTGTAATAGATGAGCCCAACTGTTTATTGCTGTAAAAAATACTTTATGTGCGTGGCTCAATGGTTGAGTGTCAACCTATGAACCAGGAGGTCACGGTTGGATCCCTGGTCAGGGCACATGCCCAGATTGCGGGCTTGATCCCCAGTAGGGGGCGTGCAGGAGGCAGCCGATTAATGATTCTCTCTCATCATTGATGTTTTTAATAAAGATATTAGTTAAAAAAACAGTTTATGTCTTCTCCAGCATAGGCTATGTTTAGTGGTCCTGCCCTAAGTCTCCCCCTCTCCTTTTTACTCCTTTCAATGTATTCCTTCACTTATTTTCTCATTCTCTTTGTCTTTGTGAATTAAATATACTTCACTTTCCCAGCCACCTGCACCAGGGTGAATGCAACAAACATCCCCTCCATCGGAGAAAAGTACTTTAGGCATCTGGGAGTGTGTTCACACAGGACAGACTTGGAACCTAGCTGCCTCTTCCCCGATCTCACCTAAACAGTTCTCAAGTCAGAACAGAGATTATCAACAGGGCCCGTAATTGAAGAAATGTTAGGAGAGCTATAGGCCAGAGTTATAGGAGAAGAGACATGAAAAAGGCAAAATCAGAAGTGGGGCAAGTAGGGGTGTCTCCAAGTGACAGGACGGATGGGAACAAATGGGAGCTGGACCAGGACACCCAGGCAAATGGACTGGACATCAGAAGCTCAGGAATCCAACTAAGCAAGGTGCCAATGCCATTATCGATGTTGGCAGCAAGAAAGGAGTTGAACCAAAGTGGGTATTACCAACCAAGGGTCTCTGTGAGTATCTCTCTGAGAAGACCACTGGGTCAGCCCATCTTTCTGGAGTAGGAATAGAGTTAGCAAAGGCTCCAAAGGCGACCAGGACCAAGTGAGTTTAGCAAACAATTGGAGAGAATTATGTGATAGAGTCTCAGCTAATTGACAGCGTGCACTTCCAATGTTCAAGGTCTTGCCACCCCAGAAATTTAGTGGCAAATGAGTTACAAGGTCTTAAGGACTATCACGAAAGGAGCAAGGACAGTTCTGTTGTAGGCCACTCTGGCTGTATTTCATATAATGTCACGATGTTCCAAACTCGTGCTCTTCTCTATGTTGAAGGCCGAGGGGACTTTTTAACCTTCATTAATGAAAATTATTTGCTTTCATTTCAAGAGATGTCTCCAGTTCTGGGAAGACAGTATCCAGATACCACTGAAATGACTTGCAGCCCAATCGTCTCCTTAATTCAACACGCTCACTAATGTTTCCATAGCGGATGGATTTCAGATCAGGTCTTCGTAAGAAAAACTGCTCCTACATGGAAATAAAGAGTTTCATTAAACCAAGCCAATCTCTGGTCATCAAATCATGACATCACAAGAACTTTAAAAAAAATTTTTAAAAATACCTTCTAACTTCCTCTGTATAGGGACACACACACAATCTGGGACTTACCCCACACGTATGCACAATATGTGCTATGATGGACCATGGCAGAGGTAGGGTATATCCCCTCTCTCTGACTCTCTCAGTGATACTGAAGGACAAAAATCCCTCACTGCCCCTTTCCAATCAGTACTTCCTTGGGTTCAGAAATGGGGACGATGTGGTAGCTAAGGGCAAATAGACTCTGGAGGAAGACAACTGGGTTTAAATGTTGGTCGGTTCTGCTACTTATTAACTAGGTAACCTTGGCCCTTACCCTCATGAGGTTGTTGTGAGACTGAACACTTTAATACACGCAAAGCCCTGGGGAGATGAAAGCTAGCACATAGCCTCACGTCAGTATCGGCCACTATTATTACCACACCTGTTAGTCTTTTACGCTCTCTGAAGGAAGCACCAAGGATGAATATCTAATGCACTCAACCTGCTTCATATTAAAAGTAGTATTCTAAGTAGACCAAAGCCTCCTTATATTTTCATCTGTGTATTCCCAGTGCCCAGCATACAGTATAGTAATATTGTTGAATGAGAGGAACTTGCTTATTTAAATTAGCATATTATGGGCATGCCATGTTGGATTCTCCCAGGGACTCTTGGCCACTGGAGGTCTTTGCCATCTTCTCTTGTCACTGCCTAGTTAGTTCCCCAGGCTGGTTGATGCATGGGGTGAGTGAACCTAAGGGTGCGGGAGGGGTGTCATCATTTTGGAGTGAAAACAGAGAAGATCTTAGGCAGTATCTCCCTGTTTGAAGCCTTCTCTTATCCAATGTCACTCACTAAGGTTTCCAGTGTGCTGTGTCATACAGTCCCGTGAGTATGCCAAACATCATATTCTTTTTAAGTTAGATAAACTTTTTGTCACTATATCTTCTGTGATATTCAGTAAACTCATTCCTAGCTGTGTTCAAGTCGACTATTTAAATCTGTGATCAGAGTTCACAGAAAAGAAATCAACAATCATAGCACATAGTTACCAAGAAACTATAAGCAGTATAATTTAGAGATTACTTCAGGGGTAGAACTCTGGGCTTAGAAAGCTTACATTTTACTTCATACTTTTCAGTACTAAGTGCCTTTTTAGAATGAATTATGTTTTACTTTTTAAAAAATGATTTTTTAAAAATCAGGAAATATAATACATGCAAAAAGTTCATAAAACATGAATGTGCAACATAATGGATTATTGAAAAATCAACGTTGGTAATGCTGACTAGATCAAGAAATAGAACATAACTCGCATCCCAGAAGCCCCTGGCCTCCCCCTTCCTGGTTGGCATCCTTTCTCTTAGTTTTCAATGCCTTCTTGATTATGGAGTCACTTCTTTGCTTTTCTTTCTAGTTTTGGTATCTAAATATGCATATATAGATTATACGGTTTAATTTTACCAATTTTAAGTTATAGAAAAATACACTATATTTTACTGTATTTGGCTGCTTTTGTTCTCCATTATGTCTTTAAGATTTACCTATACTGTTGTATCTACTGTTGGTTAATTTCCGCTACCATAGCAATTAAATATATCACATTTATCCATTCTACTGTTGATGAGTATTTGTGCTGTATTCATTTGAGGCTAATAAACAGTGCTGTTTATAAACATTCTTATTATGTGTTCTGGTGCACAAAAGCATGCATTTCTGTAGACTGGAACTGTTGGATCATGGGATATTCATATCTTTTACTTAATATTGCCCAACTGTTTTCTAAAGTGAGCATGTGATAACAAGCACTCCCACCATCCGTGTCTGAGGATTCCTGATGCTTGCTAACACTTGGTCCTGTCAGATTTTAAATGATAAATATCTCCCTGAATTGTTGTTTTTAATCCTCACCCGAGGAAATGTTCTTCATTGATTTTAGAGAGAGAGGAAGGGAGAGGGAGAGAGAGAGAAATATCAATGTGAGAGAGAAACATCTATCAGTTGCCTCCCATACACACCCCAACCAGGGATAGAACCCACAACCTGGGCATGTGCCCCGACTGGGAATTGAATCCGTAATCTTTCAGTGTATGGAATAATGCTCCAACCACTGAACCACACTGGCCAGGGCTCTGCCTGAGGTTTTAATTCACATTGCCCTGATTGCTAAAGAAATTGAGTATTATTACTTTTATAACTTTAAATAATAAATTAAAGAAATATTAGATCAAGACCAGGGCATATAATATCACAGAGAGATTCTTACACATTTCTACCCATGTATCTGAAGGGAAGTCTTGGTGAGGTTACTGTCCATGCCTGTTGTGCAGGGATTCTGGATGAACGACTTTTGAATTGAAATGGAGCCACACTACAGTTCTCTGTACGTGCACCCATTTAGGTCCTGGCAGAGGCTTAAACTTGGGGACATGCACACATGAAGGGGCTTGGCTTTGGTATAAAAAAAAAAATCTTTGTGTTTTTTGTTGTTGTTGTTGTTTTTGTATAGAAATATTTGACTGTTTATAGAAAAGATGAAGGAGATCTACATGGCCCTGACCCAGTGGTTCAGTCAGTTGGAGCATCATCCCATACACCAAAAGGTTGCAATTTCTATTCCGGAGCAGGGTACATACGGGAGGCAACCAGTCAATGTTTCTCTCTCACATCAATGTTTCTCTTCTTTTCTCTTTCCCTTCTTCCCTCTATAAAATCAATAAAAACATATCCTTGGGTGAGGATTGAAAAAACAAACACAAAAGACTTGCATAGTCCCCAGATCAGCAGCAGCCACATAATTGGGAACTTAGTCATGGGAGAAGAGATCTAAGAGTTGCCTGTGCGGAAGGGAGCAGGAAGAGGTATTTGCTTCAGAGGGGGAGTCCTTGCGGGGGAAGGGGCCAAAAGACCTAAGCTAAACAAACAAACATATATCTACACTAATAAGAGAAACATGCAAATTGGTGTCACTCTGCTACGCCCACCAGCCAATCAGGATGAGTATGCAAATTAACCCAACAAAGATGGCAGTTAATTTGCATATAAAGGTGTAGAGTGAAGACTGAAGACTCTACCCGAGCGAAGACTGAAGACAACTGAAGACTGAAGAAGCTTGGCTTCTCTGCTGCGGCCAGAGTGGAGAAGCCTCAAGGCTTGCCTTCTCTGCTGCGGTTGGAGCGAAGGCCTGGGTCCTGGGTGCCAGAGGAAAACTGGTGCTGGCAGTCAGGGGAAGGAAGGCCTATTGCAGGAATCTCTTCATGCAATGGGCCTCCAGTATATATATAAAAGCCTAATATGCAAAATGTCCCCTTGGGAGTTCGACCGGGAGACTGGGAGTTCAATCACTCGCTATGATGTGTGCTGACCATCAGGGGGCAGCACAGAATGAAGGAAGGCCCTGGCTGGAAGCTGGGGAAGGGAGGCCCCCACCAGCAACCAGAATAAAGGCCCTGGCCAGCAGCCAGAAGGCCCCAATTGGCCCTGATCACCGGCCAGGCCTAGGGACCCTACCTGTGCATGAATTTCGTGCACCAGGCCTCTAGTAAATAAATAAAATACTCCTTGTGTTGGTTGATTCCCTTCTGAGAAACTCGAGTTTCCCTAGAAATTAAAAGTCAGGTGCAAGTGTAGCAGCTTCAAATGAACAATTGAGAACAAGGTCTGGAGATGAGTGGCTGAGCGGTGGGAGGGCTACCGCTAACTTAAGGAAAACAGAGGAAAGAACAAAACTTGCTGTCTGGAAAGGCAGTAGAAGACTTCTTCAGAGCAAGTCCCACTGTGTATGTTCATCTGTTCAAAGCACAGACATATCCTTTACCTTGTATTCATCCAGCCAGACGTGTACCAGTCTGAGGTTGTTATATCTCAGGGCTTTGAGAACTTGGGTTACATTTTTGAAAATATGTCTATCAACATGTCCTACTCGAGAACAGGGCAGTATAAAGAGCTGGCCTCCACACATCCAGATCTAGACATAAGAAAAACAGAAAACATAATCATGTGTGTTTGCTAATAACAGGCAACTAGTGATTTTTTTTTACAAACATAACATTAGCTCATGTTTATTAAGTTTCTTATTTCATTCAATCTTCACAACAACCCTATAATGTAGATATTGTGTTATCCCCCATTTTACAGATGGAGAAACTAATACAGAGATTGGTTAAGCACTTTGTCCAGTGACACAGGGCTGGTAAGTAGCAGAGTACAGGATTCAAATGCAGGAAACCCAGCCCCATCACCAGCATTCTGAATACTAGGTGATTCTGCTTCTCTTATATATGACCAGTTCTGAGGCTGATTATGTGTGAAGAGTGGCATGACAAATTTGTCTTAAAATATTCTCCACAATGGAATAATATTCAGCTGTAAAAAAGAAGGATCTCTTACACTTTGACACAGCATGGAGGGACCTGGAGAGTATTGTGCTAAGTGAAATAAGTCAGTCAGAGAACGGTAAGTATCACATGATCTCACCCATATGTGGAATCTAATGAACAAAATTAACTGATGAACAAAGTAGATCCAGAGACATGGAGACATGCAATAGACTGATGGATCTCAGAGGGAAGGTGTGTGTGTGGGGGGAGGGGGGGTGGCAGGAAGAGATTAACCAAAGAACTTATATGCATTTATGCATAACTCATGGACACAGACAATAGTGTCGTAGGCCTGGGGAGGGGGGATGCAGAGTGGAGGGATCAAAAGGGGGAAAAGGGGGACATATATAATACTTTGAACAATAAAGATACCTTTAAAAAGTTAATATTCTCATATTCTCACCCAGCTGGCATGGCTCAGTGGTTGAGCATCGACCTATGAACCAGGAGGTCACAGTTCAATTCCCGATCAGGGCACATGCCCGGGTTGTGGGCTAGATCCCCAGTGTGGGGTGTGCAGGAGGCAGCTGATCAATGATTTTCTCTCATCATTGATGTTTCTCTCTCTCTCTCCCTCTCCTTTCCTCTCTGAAATCAATAAAAATACATGAAAAAATGATATTCTCAAACAATATAAGAAAATATTACACTATGTTAACACCGGCGTGGCTTCACAGGGTGTGAAGTGGCAGAGGTCAGCCCTGAGGCCAACGAGGTGCAAAGACAGAGTTGACAAGAACAGTCTTGGGAACACTCACGTTAAAGAGATGCACAGAGGAGGATCTCCCGTGGAGGAAACCGAGCACCACCAGGCCATGGGAGGGGAACCAGAAATGCTGTCCTAAAAGCCAAGAAAACTTCTGGAAAAGACTGGTCTATAGTGCCAAGTGCTGCAGGAACCTCAAGTCTAGAGAAGACCAAAAGCCACCCACTAGGGACATCTATAGTAAGCTGGTGACAATTCCTGGGATGAGGTCACAAGATGCTGAAGGCCCATGGTTTACTGGATTGAAGAGGAAGCAAGAAATGAAGAAGTATACGCAGGCATAGACTATCTTTTCTCAGGAGAGACAAGGTTACTTCTCTGGGTTAGAGACCACTGCTAGTGTCACGATGGCGCTTTAGCTATTTGTTCATTTTTCGTTTGTGTATGCAAAACCCAAGGATACCTACAGGATAGGAAGGGGCCATTAGGAATGGGTTGGTTGAAAATATCAAAGCAAGGAGAGTTAATACATTTGAATAATAAGTTAGCGGTTCTTCACTATATGGAGGGAATATAGAGCCAAAAAAAGGAATATACTTACTTTTCAAATATGAATGTATCATTCACAAAATTGATTTTAGGGGGAAAGTCCATATACTGTATTCTCAGAGCAATGTAATGAAAAGGAATGATCAACCAGACAAATAAAAGTGGCAAAGGCATGGGTGTTATAAAACACTGGCTGATCAGAAGGGAAGACACGAGTGGGAACAATCAATGAAAATAATAAACTAACAGGATGCTGCCAATAAGGGCTTGGAAGAAAATATACTGCTCTAGATATTCCTATATTCATAATAAAGTGCCTGAAGGTTTATGAAATAAGTCTGCACTTAAAATAGCTTTTAAAACAAGTGAATGAAGTAACCAGCCAAAAGAAGGAAGAGGAAGGTAAAATCCAAAACAGAAAAAAATCGTTGGAAAAAAAACACGGAAAAGAAATATAGTAAACAATTAGTACATGCTAAGATAACATGAAATTCAAAGTGTGATCTCTGCAGATGACTTCATCAAGTATAAAGAACAGATGGCAAAATTTAAACTGGAATGGTAGTGGCTCTCACTTATTAATCAACTCATGTAAATTCATCAATTAAGCTGTTTGCTCCACACCAACTTTTTTGGTTGGGCAAAAAGACAAGATAGAGAAAAGTGAGGGGATATGTGAAGAGGAGTAATAGTGAGCTCACAGCTTAGTCTTTGATGTACCGGTCCATTATAAAAATCTCTTAGCATTCGGTCAGAAACAAATACGTATGATAAACATACAATAAATGTTTGAATAGTACCTTATATATTTTTTAGACTCTCTCTCTAGGAATATCTACTTTGTACTTTATTCTCTACCCCAGTTATTTCATTCAATCTCACAAAATTCTGAGAATGGCATTAATATTTATTCCTACTTAACAGGCGAGGAAACTGAGACTAGAAAAATTAATGACTTGCCAAGGACCTTTCAGTGGTAGAGCCAGGACTAATTCTCAGGTCTAATAGCACAGGATTTTTTAAAAGTTGAATCTATTTTTAATAATTGAGATATAATTCACACGCTACAAGAAATCACTCTTTTAAAGGATGGACTTTCATGATTTTCAGTATTTCTTCAAGATTGTGCCACCATTGCCATTAATTCCAGAACATTTGTACCTTCCTTAAAGAGACTTGGCACCCACTAGCACTCAGACTCCTTCCTCCAGCCCCTGGCAACCATGAATCTACTTTCTGTTTTAATGGATTCACTTATTCTAGCCACTTCATATGAATGGACTCATAGATATAAGTGGCTTTGTGACTGGCTCCTTCCACTTACCATAATGTTCTTAAGTTTCATCTGTGTGGTAGCAAGTACCCAGGATTCAAGAGTTAGGAGACAACTCAGACACCCTCTCATTTTACAGCTGGAGAAACTAAGACCAAAGATAGTTTATATATTTAGTGGCATCCAGGTCCCCTACCTCCTCATCCTGTGTTATTTCCACCACACTATAACTACGAAGACAATGAGTAGAATAAAAAAGAGATTCCACAATAGATTGAAATAGTCTATTAATTTGATATGCCATACACTGGAAATAACATATGGTAGGAAAGTCTGATATTTTATGAAATGTTTTCAATTTTCTGCAAGGAGTCCCACAAATTATATATTTCATGGGATACCAGAATGATACCAGATACTCATGTAGAAAAATGGCGTAATTGCCACAGCAGATTACATGACTTAAAGTTTGATTTCACTTTGTATGTACAAAGGTAACTATTAAAAAAATCCCACAAAATCTGAATTACCCTTAGTGAAAGTTCCAAATTTTCTGCTCCCCAGAGGTTCATATCCTTGTCGTACTGTCCAATCTCATTAAAATAATGCCGACTTATAGCAAAAATTCCTCCAGACATTGCGGGGGACCTAAAAAGAACACAAGTATTAAGTTGATTCTACAGACTCAGTTAGTATGGATTTGTGCCAAAATTATATTGAATATTAATGATAATACAGTTAAAAACTAGAAAACAACCATATTAACTAATGTCCAAATTTTTAAACATACATTTAAGTATGTAAAATTACTATGTTAAAATCATAACTACCAAAAAGTAGGCAGTAACATTTACTTAGCTCTTACCAAATTATGCAAGCAATATACAGGGTAGGGTAACAGGAGGTTTACAGTTGTTCATATGGAAAATAATATACTAATCAATAATAATACAAGAATAAACTCTGTGTTTCATAGCGCAGAACTGTAAACTTAATATTGCCCCACCTATGTTCTAAATGTTGTCTTGGTCAGCGGGAAAATTATCCTTAGACTGCGAGTTTCCTATGGGGATGAAGACTGAATTGGGTAGTTGAGTTCAGAAATTCCCCTCACTAAGGGCATTAAGGGCAATACTGACTTCAGGGAAAAACGATCACATTATAAAGCATTTTTTTTCTTTTGTCCATCAAAGCAGGACCCATTAATACCAAACTAAATAGTTTGAAAGAAATTACATGGGCCCGGCCGGCTTGCCTCAGTGGTTGAGCGTCGACCTATGAACCAGGAGGTCACGGTTCGATTCCCTATCAGGGCACATGCCTGGATTGCAGGCTTGATCCCCAGTGTAGGGCGTGCAGGAGGCAGCTGATCAATGATTCTCTCTCATTATTGATGTTTCTGTCTCTCTCTCCCTCTCTCAAATTAATAAAAATATTTTTAAAAAGAAAGTATTTACATGTTCATTCATTCATTCATTCAAAAAACTACCTATTTAAAAAAAACTATCTATTAAGCAGCTTTAACATGTTAGGGATAAATTAGTGAGTCAACAGGCGAAGGTGAGAGTAGGGATACCAGATAGAGGTTGCTGCAGTGGTCCCAGAGAAAGACGGTGGAATCTTGGATAAGGGTATAGCAAAGAAGGTGGTGAGATGTGGTCAAATTCGTTTTTCTTTTCTTTTCTTTTCTTTTCTTTTCTTTTCTTTTCTTTTCTTTTCTTTTCTTTTCTTTTCTTTTCTTTTCTTTTCTTTTCTTTTCTTTTCTTTTCTTTTCTTTTCTTTTCTTTTCTTTTCTTTTCTTTTCTTTTCTTTTCTTTTCTTTTCTTTTCTTTTCTTTTCTTTTCTTTTCTTTTCTTTTCTTTTCTTTTCTTTTCTTTTCTTTTCTTTTCTTTTCTTTTCTTTTCTTTTCTTTTCTTTTCTTTTCTTTTCTTTTCTTTTCTTTTCTTTTCTTTTCTTTTCTTTTCTTTTCTTTTCTTTTCTTTTCTTTTCTTTTCTTTTCTTTTCTTTTCTTTTCTTTTCTTTTCTTTTCTTTTCTTTTCTTTTCTTTTCTTTTCTTTTCTTTTCTTTTCTTTTCTTTTCTTTTCTTTTCTTTTCTTTTCTTTTCTTTTCTTTTCTTTTCTTTTCTTTTCTTTTCTTTTCTTTTCTTTTCTTTTCTTTTCTTTTCTTTTCTTTTCTTTTCTTTTCTTTTCTTTTCTTTTCTTTTCTTTTCTTTTCTTTTCTTTTCTTTTCTTTTCTTTTCTTTTCTTTTCTTTTCTTTTCTTTTCTTTTCTTTTCTTTTCTTTTCTTTTCTTTTCTTTTCTTTTCTTTTCTTTTCTTTTCTTTTCTTTTCTTTTCTTTTCTTTTCTTTTCTTTTCTTTTCTTTTCTTTTCTTTTCTTTTCTTTTCTTTTCTTTTCTTTTCTTTTCTTTTCTTTTCTTTTCTTTTCTTTTCTTTTCTTTTCTTTTCTTTTCTTTTCTTTTCTTTTCTTTTCTTTTCTTTTCTTTTCTTTTCTTTTCTTTTCTTTTCTTTTCTTTTCTTTTCTTTTCTTTTCTTTTCTTTTCTTTTCTTTTCTTTTCTTTTCTTTTCTTTTCTTTTCTTTTCTTTTCTTTTCTTTTCTTTTCTTTT